TCATAGACGCGTGCGCCCGCGCCGAGGAGTGGGGCGAGCCGGACGCCGACACCCGCGCAGCCTTCCTGCTCGGGGGCGCGGGCGTGTACGCCGTGGCCACGCTCGTGTACCACGCCCTCGGCCGCTCCGACTACGTGCAGCCGCTGGGCAAGTTCCGCTCTCTGTGCGCCGTCTGCTCGCCCGTCTCCTTCCTGGAGTGCGGCTCCGACGAGCTGTTCGTGGGCCGCGCGGGCTACCTGTGTGCCGCGCTGGTGCTCAAGCAGAAACTCGCCCAGGAGGTAAGACGCAGCTCCGGCCGCTGGAGGGCGCTCGCCACCTGCCCGACCCTGCCCCGCAGCCCTTCCTGGGACTCCAGGCTCCAGGCGCAGCGCCCCTGGCCGCTCACCATCTTTCTGTTACTCTTTTCTTGAGTGTTGTCATTTCTTTACTCTCTTGAGGTTTATCTCCTGCTTTTGTCTGTCTTCTTCCCCCTCTCCCTTTCAGTTGCTTATTTGTTGGGATTTGGCATCTTTGCCTTGTCCTGGTTTCCCGCTGAACGGACGTGGCATCTGCCCAGATGCCTCTTTGCCCAATAGCTTTTTGGAGGCTCTTTCAAGTGAGATTTTAAAAACCTTGAAAATGAAAGGGATTTCCCCTCCTTTGAGCCTCTTGTCAAAAGCTGAAGCATCTTCGAATGTTAGAGCGCTACAAAAGTGATGGAGTTTGGGGGGCTCATTATGTGTCCATCACTAATGTGGAGGTCAGTTTCGTCTGTGACCCCTGGGTCTATAGCCTAGAATAACTGCCTAGCTGTAGGTCTGATGTGCTTACTATTCAATTCGTCTCATGGCTCTTATAAAATGCATATCTGCTGGGGGTGTCCTCTTTTAAATACATAAATGTAGACAGAATTGTACCCCATTGTAATCAAGTGCATTTTTCATTTTAAAATGCCTAGTTAGGATTGTCAGGCCGAGAGCATATTTGACAGGGTAGGTTTTCTTAATGAATAGCTTTCCAGTGACTCCTTGAGGTGAACTGGATTTCACAACCATATATAGGTATGTTTTTCTCTCCTGGATTAACTTTGAATACAGTGTGTGGATATTAGAAGAGAATGTGCTAGTTTCTGTAGAGTAGAAAAAAAAAAAATTCTCCAAAGGATCATAGTAACTAGAACTGAGAGGCTCTTTCATTCATAATCCACTGGAGCCAAAAATTGTTCTAGGGAGGAAGTGACACATTTAACTTGCCTTTATTTGGGTGAGAGAGGTGTTTGAAGAAAAATTAAAAGTACACAGTGTGTTCTAAATGTGCAATTAACTTAGATAACCTCTACAAGGGCACACTTGATTTTTTATTTATTTATAGCAGGTGAAGTTGATTCAAGTGAGAAAAAGGAGTGCTAAAGACTGTGCACTGTGCTAACAGGGCAGCAAAGATTTGTGTGACAAAATTGTCTTGAAATAGCTCACTCTGCCTCTGAGTCACTATTATCTGCTAGCAGTTTCTCAAGGGCCCTTCCAGTATAAAACCTTTTAGAAGACCCCAGGGCTATTTACATATCATTTGCATTACATTTGTATCTGCTTCTCAGACCTTGCAGTCTGGCAGTAGACAATTTTCAAATTCATTTTGATCCCCCAATTGTTTTCCTTAAACTTGCTTCTTTCCTTTCTGTGTCTTGGGGCTTTTTCTCCATAAGGGAATGGCAGAGTGGGAGACCCATCAGGACATACAAGTGGAAACAGACCAGAAGGACTCCATTCCCCAAAACTAGGGTCCCAGGGACAGTCTCTAAGGCTGATCTACCAAGACATTTATTAGGACCTCTCTTCTGTTCTGCAGCCAAACCAGATCTGTCTTTTTATACTAATCAAATTGGGGTGCTTTGGCCCCTGTTCCTAGGATATAGAACAACTCTGAGGGTAAAGAAACAGCTCTTCACTTGGGTAAATCAGCTAGTCTGTGTCAGCATCAGTTGGGGCAACCCATGAAGTTCAAGCTTGAAAGTGAGGGGAAAGGCATGGGCTAAGTAGGCCGGGCTGGAAGCCCTTTGAAGGAAAAATACAAGTCTTGTGCACCATCTCCACCCCCATGTCCTAGCCAGCATATGGCTTTGCCCTCAGTAGATGATCCATAAACCATTGTGAACCCTGTCAATTCTTTATAAATAATCTGTCATTATGTCCTGAGTTTCTTTCCCTCCAATGTCATTTAGAGTCATTTTCCTCTGGCAGTTCCCTCAGTTATTACCCCGGTCGAGATCCTCTGCACACTACTTGGCACATCTTTGGCATCTAATAGTTGAATGAATCACCATTTACTGGGATTAGTGCAATATAGTCTGAGCTGGATTCTCTCACTCAAAGCCATTCCATGTACCTATAAGAAACCAACCCTCTTAAAAACACTTTTTATTATGTTATTTCTCTGCTCAACATCCTGCAATGGCTCCCTATTACCTTTTTCTCTAGAGGCTTCTTATCTCACTGGCAGTTAGAGCTAAGACAATTAAAATCACCAACAAGGCCCCACATGATCTGAACCCGTGCATACTTATCCACTTCTTGTTCACTTTGCCTCAACCACACTGACCTGGATGTTTCAGATATTTACTCTCTCAGGTTGTTCCCTCTACTTGGAATACTCTCCTCCTAGCTATTTTTATAGCTAGCTCCCTGACCTTGTACAGGACATTACCTCTTCAATGAGGCCTTTCACGTCCACCCTATTTAAAACTGCAACCCCATTCCCTGCCTTATGCCCCTTTCTTGATTCATTTTACTTATTTTGTTGATTTATATCTTCTTCAATTAAAATTTAAGCTCCATAAGATTAGAGTTTTTGTTTCATTGCTGTATTCCCAGCATAAAGACAGTGCCTAGTACCTGTTTAGAATCTCAACTTTCTTTTATTTGGTGTTGTTGCAAATAGTGTCTACTCTGTGGCTTCCTTTATCATTCAGTTTCAATGGTGTCTCTCATTTATCAATATTTTTCTTTATAGTGTTGCTTTCGGTGTCATGTTTTAAAAAATCCTTTTCTACTGCCAAGGTCTCAGTAAGTATTTATTGAATGAATGAATAAATGAATACTGATTTCTTACAAATTTTGTATCAGATCAAACCTAACCGTCAGACCTTGCTTGTTCAACTTTAATGTTGATAGGAGTGACCTGCAGATATTGTTAATAAAATACACATTCTGTTTCAGCAGGCCTGGGGCTGGGCCTGAGATTCTGCATTTCTAACAAGTTCTCAGGTGATGCTGATGCTACTGATCTAGGGACCATGCTTTGAATAGCAAAGCAATAGAGTGCTACATAGGTTTTGATATTATACCAGCCATATCTGTTAAGGGATGCTATAAGACACCATTTTATGAAGCTTGATGTATTTATTTATAAGGTTGTAGTTTAGAATACTGATTACTATGTCCTACCATTGCTTTCATTATGAGGGCCCACAAGAGGAATGTCTCTCAGGATTTGGAAACAAGAATAACTGTTCTCCTCCTGGAAATTGATTGCATTTTTAAATCATCAGAATGTGTCATGGTAACTGATTGTGTTTTTTTACTTTATGTTGGCTTCTAGGAAGCATATGGCCAGAATTGTGGTCCCCATAGACTTTGTAAAGTCCCTCATCACAGGCACTTTTGTATATTAGCATTTACCTGGGGTTTATCTAATTATTTTTCTTCCTTAGTTTACCCTTTTCTGAATTTTCTTTCTTGCATTTGATTTTATTGTTTGTATTTCTGTTTATAAGATTCAGAAATGAAAAAAAGTGTGTGCATGTAGAGAGAGACAGAGACAGAAAGAATCACTATATCCTGGTAATATATTCCTTCCTGGAAATACTCAAGGGAGCTTTGAGTGTTGGGCAGATATCCTTGAGCAATGGGCACTAAAGTCCCAATAAATTACACCATAAAAACTTGCATTTGGTCTATTCTGATTTCCATAGATTGGCTGAAATGTAGCAGGGAAAAGGAAGCTAGAAAAATGGAGAAGGGATTAAGGGAAGGCCTAGGGAAGACAGTTAAAATAACTTTGTCACTGGGTGACCTTGGACAAATAATTTAACATCTTTGAGTCTCAATTTTCTCACTTGTAAAATGGATTAATAATAGCTTCCTCATTCACTTATTGTTTCATATATTCATTCATTCAGTGAATGTCAAGTTTTTACATGTGCCAGGCACTGTGCTATATGCCAGGATTTAGTAATGAACAAAAAATCAATATAATTATGTTGTTATAAGTGCTCTGAAGGAAGTAAACAGGAACTAACTGGGGGAAGGACGAGAGATGGGTGGGGGGATTGGCATAGGTTAGTGAGGAAGGCTTCTTTGTAGGGGGTGATTTCCTGGCTCATCACTGAAGCATGAGAATGAAGTGGCTGCTTCAAGAGCAGTCATTCCAGGCAGAGGGGACAGCAAGGACAGAGCTCCTGACGTGGGAAACTGCATGGAAATTTCAAAGAAATAAAAGATGGCCATCACAGTTGGAGCAGAGTGAGCAAGGGCTAGGGCGATAGAGGAGTTCAAGACCAGGTAGGAGCCCTGAGAAGAGTAAAATCAGATCCTGCAGGGCCACATCAGTCACAGTTAGGAGTTTGCATTTGTTTCAGGTTTAAACAGGGGAATGTCTTCATTTTATTTACCTTTTAAGAAGCTCACCCTGGTTTTCTGTATGGAAAGTGGATTGAACAGTATTAAGAACAGTCACAAGGAGGACTGGTTACTGGGAGGTTCAAACACCTTTTGTACCAATAACTCCTTTGTAAATCTGTTGAAACCTATGATACTTCTTATAATAATATTTTAGATGCATAAAGTAAAACAGATAGAATTACAAAGGAAACCAATTATTTTGACATTTGGTTACCAAAATATTTTTAAAATGTGCGATGCCGTAGCATTTGTGCTTCTTTATTAGCATTAAATAACAAGATTTGGCAACAACTCTAAGAATTATGGTACTTTTGAAACAGTGATGGGGTCAACGATATTTCGAGATATCTTTAACAACTACTGTAGGATATGAATATATCTGTGATTTCTGTAGATGGCAACATTACAAGTACTACTGGTGATTTGTGGTCTGCATTTGTAATGAAAGGAAATGCTAAATTGTTTAAGTAAGATTTAAGAAAATATTGATGTGATTTTATTTTCTCAACCAAAGGGGTACTTGTCAGGAAGTTGCTGTGATGACTCACCCTAAATAAATTGCCTAGTACAGTACTTGGCACATAGTAGCTGCTTAATGAAATCAGCGTTATTCTGTTTTG